TAAATATATCTCGAAGGATTTTTCATAATTCAAAAAACATAAATCTTAGATATGGATTTATTAAATTTCATTATAGCCTCAGATTAAAAAGTTGTAACAACCGACCTTTACTAATTTCTTCGCGATTCCGACCAATACCAACATTTTCAATTTTTGTTTACCCATTTTTTGTCCCCAACTTCACAAAAGAATTCAAGTCATTTGGACCAATTTTAAAAAAGTTGTTCCGTTTTAAAGGGTGTACCCATACTTTTGACCGGCAGTGTAAAATCCTGAAATTTCTAAAAAATATCTAAAGACCAATCATTTCTGTCCTAGCATATTAATATTTTCGCGATCTTCTCGCAATTATTTGATCGTAAAGACATTGTCACTGATTACGGCCACCCATAAGAAACTTTAATGCGCGGACTAGCGATCGCGTCCAATTTGACCGGTCGCGATGAATCACACTGCGAACAGGACGATGCAGCCTTAAATGCAGATTACGCTTATATGCAGATTCAGGGGAGAACAAACGTCGCGTACACGCGGCGACCCGGTAACATTTTAATCGGTTTCCAAGGCCTAGCTCCGTGTAAACGAGCCCTAACGAGCGAGACGCGCGCTGATTCCCCATGCACGGGGATCGTCTGTTTGCGCTGGCTGCTGGTGCACGCACGCTACATTGCATTATTAATTGCGAGCCAATTAAGGCGCGTTACAACGTTACCACCGCCCTACCACGCGAGCCTTCGTCGAGAATTGAACGAAGAAAATGGCCGAGCATCGTTGATTAAAGAGTGTCTCGAAAGCGAACTTGAGATATTGAGATGGAAAGTGACTTAAGGGGTCATGCTCAGTCAGAAGGCCGAAAAAAGAGTGTTCTTTGAGAATTTTTTCTCGGAAACTATAAGACCTTTTACGAAACATGTGTTTGTGTTTCAAAGATTGCAGTTTATAGATTATAAGGTAATTTTTTGATTTAAGAATATTTATAAGTGCGATTTTCACCTAAAAATCACTAGTTTCTGGTCAATTAAAAAAAAAGTATGGAACGAACAAAAGAATCCTTCGTTCAAGGATAAGTTTTTCTGATTTGAAATAAGGTCCATGTAAATCAACACAGTAGTTTTCGAGAAATATTGATCACCGATTTGAAAAATGTAGTTTCGAGAAAAACGCGTTTAAAGTTTCAAATCAAGTTTATACTTATGTACAATGTTCATTTTTTAACGCTTGTAACTCTGTCATTTTTAGTTGGATTACCTTGAAACTTGCACAGAATATTCTAGAGATGTTGTACTTAAAGAAAATGTAGAAAGTAAAAAATCGATTTTTTCAAAATTTCTGACTGAGCATGACTCCTTAAAGCGTGTCTCGAAAACGAACTTGAAACAATGGGATGGAAAGTGTTTGCCTTAACATCCGCATCATATTGGGGTTGACCAACAGGTAATGTCGGATTTCTGCACTAGACGATGCTTTTTTTTCAATACGAAGCAGTACTACTAACTAATACAATAAGGTCAATTTTCGTTATTTCTAATCATGTAAGAGTTTTGTTATGGCAGAAATTGATTTCTATTATTTGTTTATACAACAATCAACAAAAAAGCTTAGATACACAATTTAAACCTCCTTTTATAATTATATTTAAATGAAAGTATTTATGAAAACATTTTATCTTAATAATAGTTCATTTAATATGGAGTATCTATAAAATGTCCCTATGTCTGCTCAGCGAAAATGGAAGTGCCAGAACCAAATTTGACACGTTTCTTCCTCGTTAAGGTAGCTTCCACGTTTTGTATCGTATCTAATCGGGGCTCTACATGGCGCTTTGGACTGTTTATCAATTTTACCAATTTAATTTGAATGATTAATAGTTTAAACTACTTCACAATACTTACATCTAAAACATTTTACAAGTAACTGGAAAAAAACAAATTTTGTTAATTTAAAAAAAAATTGGAAAATTTATCGAACAAACCAAAGGAAAACAAGCGACGTTACTGTGAGCAGCAAACATGCGTAAAAGATACTATCAAACGCAGTGGAACTTAAGTTTGCATACTTTGATCTTAATGTTTAGTTTTCTTTGATCGTTAACATATCTTTTTTTTCAAGCCATCATAATCTCTGTAAAAAAATCTAATTTTTTATGAAAATCTAATTTTTTATAGCTCATTAAGATGTGATTAACTTCCCAGTATCAATTACAGTTCTATAAGGCTCGTGTTGAAAAGAAATTTTTATAAAGTTTCTTTTTCAATAATTTTATCATTGACCTTGCGATTTTTGGGTAGCAGTCGAAGTTTGAAGTGTTTAAGAATGTTCTGGTAAATTTTCAACTATATTTATAAATATAAAAAATTTGCGGATGCCACCTTAAGGGGTGTTTCAACGTGGTACCATTGCTGTCGCATCAAAACACTATCTTCTATTGAACGAAATCTCTTCTGGGTTCTCACACGCACAATAATAATCGGCGTGTTACGTCAATCATCTGTACTTGACCAGGCAGCCACTCTAGCAGCTGATGACCTTAATAACACTTCGCATAAATACAGTACCGGACAAATGTCTTCGGACAAAAACCATTTCCTGTATTATTTGAATGAAGGATACTACTGATGCTACATTAAATAACCAACGCTTGTCTTGTGTAATTGTTGTTTTCTTAGGTTGACCACACTCGATATATTTACTAAATGTCTTCCAAAGTTTTTATAATAATAATTCAACCCCATGGTTTGCACACAAAAACCTCAGTAGAGAATTCATAGTAACAATAAACAGAATCATTACAATCTAGCAGCCTCCCTGAACCGTGTCGGTATTGTAAATGACGCTAAATGCAAATGTAACTATGAGTATGAAAACCTGAATCACGTAATCTGGCAATGCGAAAGATATAACTCACATAGACCCAAGCTAATAAAAGCGCTTCACAAATTAGGCTTCCAACTACTGCTAAATGTAGACGTGTTTACAACCACGCCAAACATAAAAGCATGCTTATATATAGTCTCTTTTCGTAAAGACTGTAATCTGCGCATATAAGAATAATGTCTTCTATTATATACTTGTAAATGTTGCCTTGTTTGTAATGGTATCGCTAAATAAACCTGCAAGGGTTTAAAATGCTTATTAATAAAAAAAAAAAATTTAACAGTAAATACTCCGGAGGGCAGAACTTCAGTAACATCACCATAACAACAAATACAACGAAAAATGTCTTTGTCTGAATTCATTTGTCCGGTATTGTATACGTGTATAACGACGCGTACTTTGTGTCTCATCGACCAGAATTGCAATTTAGAATTTCCTTGAAACTCGTTCGCAACGGTAGCCTCGTAATGGGCCCGTGCCCGGTGTCTTGAAACCTGGAGTGTATAATAAATTCGATTAATTATAGAATTCACGGAATTTTCGGCGTAGACATTGAATACCGTCTCGTTTGCTGAGATTCGTGTGACTCATGGCGTGTCAATCTCGTTAGGGTTAAACGCGGACGGACTCAGTTACGGCGCACTGTAATCATTATGTTTCTCTGAATTGTGGTTCTTTGTACCAGAGGTGAAATATTTGATCATATTTTGTTATACAATGGCCTGTAGAAGTCTCGTTCATTTTAGATGAAGCAACAGAGTCTTATTCATCGTTCATGAGTAATACTTCCTCTTGTGCAGTGTGCACTCTACAGTTTAGCACACTTGGTAGCGATTTTCTATTCAATTTATAGTAGGTATTGTAGATTTTCCTTTGTATTATTTTATTTATTATTTTCCTTATACTTGTTAAATTGGGAATTTAATTTTTATTTAAATTGGAAATTTAATGCAAGATTAATTATTAATTATTATTACAAGATTTTATGCATTTGTAGGAAATATGAATGTGCAAAATACAATATAGAAAAAATTCTACTTTATTTTAAACCTGATAACATCGTTAATGAAGGAAATGAATATCTAACTTAATTTCAGTTCAATAAATCAGTCTATGAAAATCTGAATTTGGTAGCAGTCTAGTTATTAATTTCGTATTATTGGGAAGTCAGTGTTCATGTATTTCTGAAAAAGAAGATCTCGTCCAGTTTGTAATAAATTGAATCCTGTACAAGTAGTCTAAATACAAACAGTTACGGAGCTTCTGGTATAACCGAGCCACTCGAAAGTTTTGAATACTTATGCATGCTTTCAGCTCCACCCAAGAGGTTCTCTAAACATCTAAATGTGGCAGTGATTCCAGTTCGGTTGCATAACACAGAAACCGAACGGATCCAAACCTGATGTCACGTCACTAGTGTTTAAAATGGTCGATTCACGACAATCTAGAATCTAGGTGGTAAAAATAAATAATTTCGTTTTATAGTATTTATAATTATTTGGTAAATAATAATTTTGGATCTCTGTAATTGTTGGTTGAAACCCTTAATCCATTTCAGGGATGAAATATTTTTTAGAATTGTCGGTTATCTATTAGAAATTATCCTTCACTAATGGATTACTTGTAGGTAAATTTAATAAAAGGGAAGCAAAAATACAGTTTTACTCATAAAACTTTGGAATACAGAACATTGTTTAAAATGCAATGGTTAAAAAAGGTATTTTCATACTAAAGTCTTCAAGAACAATACACCATTTTTTTTGTAGTTAAACTGGAGTAAAGTAATGGATATTTTCATAACATAACATAAGAACGTAAAAATCAATTTCTGCGATAATACAATTCTTACACATGATTAAAAATAGGGACACTGACCTTATGACTCTTCCGTCAAAGTGATCCTTTTATCCGCCCAATCGACTATTTTCGACCGTTGCGCGTCATCGCATGGACTCACGTGCGATTTCAATCGGCATCGAAGTCTCCGGCTACCGGGGATCAAGTCGTAGCGCTCTTAACGAGTCGACCGGCCACGGTCGTTATGTCTAATTGCGATGGAACGGTCATTAAACGATACGTACACATCGGCGGCGACATTAAACGTTCCCTGTTTTATATGTCCGCAGGCGTGCGCCCCCAGGTACATCTGGTTCTCCGTGTCGCAGCCGAAGTACGATCCCGAAGACAATCGATGGAGCAAGGAATCGACGGCCGGAAATCGAAGGGAACCCGTCGGCACCTGCTGGGTCGTTAGCAACAGCTTTAACGAATCGCAGGAATTTTCACCCTGTCGGACGAGTGAGTACCTTTTTTTTTGTTTCTTCAGTCTGTTCTGAAAAAGGTACACGATACATTGCGAACTTTGGCAGATTTAGGGCAATCGGAAAGTGATCATTTATTGTATCGGGTTAGGTCAGAAGTCTGCGTATTTTATTAAAACCTTACGAAGAAATAAGGTTAATCATGTGATTTTTCTTTTTTGAATAACTTCTTTCCATCTTTTTACCAACTGGTCGATTATAGCGTTTAAACTTTCGCTGTCGATATATGACAAGCATCTGTAGTATTTCCAATCTTTGAGATTTTGAGACGGGCAGGTATTAGGCATGACTTTTTATATTTTCGAGTGAGAACTTTTATATATTTGTTATAGTGTTACACTATGAAAAATAAACGACCCCTCTGGAGCCTAAAAATAAGCTTCCCGTACTATAATATCATTATAAATATCAAAGAATTTATTTGTTATTTTATTATTTATGGATGACAAAACCGGTCATTTCATAGAAATCGCTGTTGATCTACGATAAATATCTCCAACATGGGAGTACCTAGAGTAAGAGAATAATATTTAAAAACTACACAAAAAGAGGAACACTTTTTTAACTACATATACATACATGTATCACAAATCCAAGTCGGTCTAAGGTCACTTTTGACCCCCTTATCCGGCTCTTTTGCCATCTATTTTATTATTTATTAATTTCTTATTTTATAGCTTATAATTATTGATCGAGAATATTTAGTTTACTTACCTGAAACCATGAATGTGTACATTATTATAAATTAATTTTCTCATTAATTGGCATTATGACTGACTTAAAATCAATATTCTTACCCAAATCCAAATGAAACACGTAGATACGTAGGTAATGCTCTTTCTGAAAAACACCAGAAAATTCTAGAAAATCAATATAACTTCAAGAAGAAATCTTTCATTAACTACATCGAACAGTGAATATAATATGATTAATTCAAAATATTTTTTCTCAACTTTTTTCTCAATGTATGTTTAATATTTTATTTACATTCATCAGATTATCGTACAATACGTTGAAATGTTATAGAAGTCCGATATTATTAGCATCAATCCAACGTTTAAACGAATAATTCACGTTATATTTCATTAACACACAAAGTATATAATATACACAAGTACACACAAAGTATAAAACTTATATTTTTAATTGCATTAGAAATACAGCAACAAACGTTTCCAACGTTCTCTGTGTTCCTAATCCGTTGTTTTGGCACTCGATTCGAAACCGGATTCTCGGAATTTATTGCGTGCGTCCCGTTACACGACGGTTCGAGTGCTATAAACAGTTGTAAACAGCACCTCGAGTTGAGGAATTTTGGTCGTGTTCACAGTCACGAGGGCGCACAGTGTGTCGATCAATGTATAAAAGTAAAAAAATCAAAATGTTAGTAATGAAAAAAACTGTTACTAACCAAATTTAAAGTGTAATACTCCTTACAAATTTTATTCAATATACAAGTTTATTGTTAAAATTGGAACGTAAAGTTTACTGCAACAGTCTATGGATTTTTTCAACCATGCACTCTACAGATCATTTGTGTATTTAAATTGATGTGCATAAGTTGAGTTCAATACTGTAGTACCTTTGAAATTAGTAAATAATTTTAATATAATAGTAATAAGTTGTCTAAACTATGAAAAGATCTTTAAAAAATATACCAAAATTACCTCCGTAGTGTTTTGTATATTCAATTTAGAACACAATAAATTTTACATTAAAATCGAGATCAATTGTCCAAATTCGTCCAAAATAGAAAAAATTATTAACACGTTCCATAGGCCCGTTTATTAAATAGACTTATTATTTTTATACAGTCAAATCCAACCATATCATACTATAAAAACAAATATAGAAAGATTAAAAACTATGAATATTAAATATATAAGAAATTATATAATAATGGGTGAATCATATATTCAGTCGTCAGATACAAATACTGATTCATGTTCTGGCTGAGATGATGTTTTTTACAGTAGTTAAAATAATTTTGACGACAAAAAATTTGTCACTAAATGCTAGTTTTTACTCCCTCGACAACACATTGCATTAGTAAATATTGATAATGGTCTTCTTATTCACCAAAAAATCAAGATAACATTAATTTTTTTGAGTGAAGCTGTATATTTTTGTATGTACCAATCGATGCATCCTTGTAATCTCTTAAAAAAAGTATTAGGGTACTTAGGTTGAAAATCGATTAGTTCAGAAGTTACGATTTTCGTCCCGAACGCCCGTATACTCGAGGCGGCAGGCTCGTTTCAAGAGAGGTAAATCCTTCCAGTCCTTTGAAGTATATCCCGAGGGACGAATTTTCTTCGAGGACCGACAAGGACCCGCCCGCGACATGTGGCCGTGTCTACAAAGTATGGCCGCCATAAATACACTTGGTAACAGGATATTTCCTGGCGTTCACGTAGGTCCGCCCGTTTTAATGACAAAAGGCGTATCGATTTTCGTCGTGCCTGGTAAACGGGTGCTTGTTTATGGTGATTTCGGGAATGGAATGGCCCGAATCACCTGTTTCGATGTCTTGATTCCGTTCACGAGTGAAAAGATGACCATGAACGTTGAATTTTATTGATAATAATCGAGATTAATTTTAGCTGAATCGAATAAAAGTTAATGCTGGAGCTACCGAAGATAAACGTGTTTCTATTTCTATCATGGTGGTAAAAGGGACAGTGTTGAAAATATGCAAATTGGTAAATTAACAAACTTCTTTAGCTATACGGGGTGATTTAAAAAAAAGGGTTCATAACTTCTAAGATAGATTGTACTCGTCAAATATTGAAAACAAGTCCTAATTAACATGGGTCGAAAAAGTAATATTTTTAATGTTTTAAATAACTTTTTGTTCCGATTAAAACTAGTGGCTTTCTTGCTTCGGTAGCTATCATACCAGATGGGAACAATGGATTATCTGTCGAAATAAAAGAAGGTAAACCTTCTGCAACCAGGAAAAGGTGAAATTATAAGATACTACATATTTAGCCTAGAAGTTATGAACCCTTTCTTTTCACTCTGTATATTGCAATAAAAGTTGCGAAGAATTTAAAAAAATTCAGTGTTCTGACTTTATAGTAATTTTTTTAAGAGTTTATGAACCAATAGTTTTAACTGATTTTTGTGGTTCTAGTGTTAAATGCATAATTGTTTCAATTAGTTTGAGTATATATGAAAAAGTAGTATAAATTTAAAGCATAGATTGGTGAGGATCGTTTTCTAGAGTTGCTTTTTCCTTAAGGAGAAGGGTATAAGAGGTTTGATAAGAAATAAATAAGGTTTTAATAATACATATTACATTGCTGCATAAATTTCGTTCATCGATGTGTTATTGGATTATTTATCTCTGCAAGCATAAAATGTTAAGCATACAGATCGGATTAAAAGTGCTTAGTATAAATCTAAATACAATATCTTTTATAACAATGGAATATCTGCCAATAGTAATTCTAGTAAGAGTCACAATATTTGCAGCACTCCACTATGTAGATATCACAACACTTGCATAATTTCAACTGATTTTGATAAAAAAACAGTCGCATGGGTGTTATGCGTGGGCTAGCAAGGATTGTTGAATGAATTGCTGATTATTTTTCTTAATCATTAGCTCCATTCATAAATTCACTACGAAAATAATCACGTTATTCCTGCATTTTATATACAGTAGCAGACAAAAAATACCACTTTTCTGAGTCTTCATATTTTTATTATTTCTTAATTAATGTCATCTTAAAACCTTAATAAACCGGATTTTATATAGCTTTTAATTCTCTACCAGAAGATATATTAAACACATAACGAAAGTTTTAAGTTGTTGAAAAATAATAAAAATAAAACGAATCGAAAAAGTTTTTGTTTGTCCACTACCGTACGTATAACGTAATAGATCACTGTTTCATATATTTTTACTTATTTTTTACATAGAAATATAGGAGAATAATGAAGACATGAAATAATTACTGGAAAATTCAATTTGTTATTTATACAAGTTAAATGACGATTCAAACAGTAATTATTTCTTCTTCAGAAATATGAAATTCATGTGTAAATAGTGGTTCTTTGAAAATTTAGAAAATGTTTCCATGGATTTCTTTCAGTCGGTTCTAAGAGATACTTAATCATTAAGTGCAGAGACAGGAGTACATTTTCTTCTTTTCCTTGCGATAATGTGGCCGGAAGATAAGTTGCTTCAGAATGCAGTGCATTTTTGTATTATCTACCACTTATCACCAGTAGAACAGACTCTCAGCGCAGATTTCGAAAGTTATTTATGTGTAACGCAGTATCAGCGTGTCTCTCCCACGTCGTTTCAAATGTTTCGGAAGTCTTTCCGGTAATGAAAGTCAATTATTTTTTTGTACCTCCAATTACTCCATTACTTTCCATCATTATTCCACAACAATAAAATTGAATCTTTGATACACGCAACATATTCGACAATTAAATTCAGATGCAATTTTTCAAAATTCCCGACAAAAAATTTCAAAACGAATATTGTTTGAATAACTTGTTCTAAAAAAATTCTGTAAATTATCTTTTATTACCGAAGATTGGCATTTTTATTATTTTTACTATTGAAATATCACAATTAATGTACGAATATGTGCTTTTTGACGTTGATTCAATAAAAAACCAACCAGCGTACTGTATTGTCAAAGAAAATGAGATTTGTGTAGGGAAATGTGCAACGTTCAGGAATCTTTCGTCACAGGATACACGAATGGTAACACACGTTACATCGGGCGCGTACTCGAAGAACACAAAAACATCCTTTTCCTGCAACTAAAGTGTCTCTTCAGGAGTGACTTTGCATTCGGTAAAAGTAAAATCCTGCGCGTACACGCATGTTTATGGCATTCCAGGCTAATGCACATCCCGTCGTTGCGTAGGTTCCAGATTTCTTTCCGATCTCCATATTTTTAACTTATTGTTAGATGTTTTTACTGAAATTAATATGACTAAAATTGAAGATCT